AAAAAACACCTGAAGGACTCCAAGATGGTGAGAAATAAGATTCTCTGGTCGGATGAGGCCAAGATAGAACTTTTTGGCCTTAATTCTAAGCGGTATGTGTGGAGAAAACCAGGCACTGCTCATCACCTGTCCAATACAGTCCCAACAGTGAAGCATGGTGGTGGCATGTAATTAATGTAATTCATTAATCAGATCAGTATATGTTTATTAGTGTGTATGAATGAAGCAGTAAATAACTGGACAGTTTCCACAGACTTTTCTTGATTGGATTTTAATACTGTTGAATAATGAATAATGTTTTCTTGCACTATTACTCTCAGATGAATGTGAATAGTTCATAAATGTGAACTCACCTCCTCTACCAGATCCAAAGGTGAAGAACAGGAGGATGAACTGAAGTGAAGGCAGAACATTGAAGCTTATTCCAGCCAGAAGACCGAATATAGTCATGATCCGTTGACTTAATTTACCAATCAATCTCATCAACACTGTAGAAGAAAACAACAGCAGTTAATAAATCAATCCAAACGCTTGATCTGACTCTGAATTAATATCATTATATATTAAAAAATAAGTACAGAAGTAAAATAACTACACTAATTCACAATTTGCCCCTTAAACTATACAATCATATAAAAACCACTGCCCGGTTCAGTTAATGAAACAAACGATTACTGTAATCCCACACAAACTGATAAAGTGAACTTCTATTTTCACATATTTAAGTGTACAGAATAAATGTGCTCTCGTTGCTAAAGCCTGTGCTGTATCTGAGCCGCGTCAGTGAGCATTTGTGTGGCTTGTGTACGAGACGATGAAGCAGACGGAGCTTGATGTTCAGCTGAATGTGTTTGCTCTGCTGTCTTCTCTAGCAGCTGATCTGAAACAGATGCTCACAGCAGAGGCGCAGCTTGACGTTTGAGCTTGCGGAGGCCAAACCGAACCGGTGGATTTGGTCAGACGCACTTTTAAACACATTTTAGTTGAGTAAATCTACATATTCACATTCACACAGAGCAGTGGCAAGTGCATGAGGTTATCATGGTAACCACACACTGCCCACCAATTACAGCTGCGCTTCTATTCTGCCGCACTAAACTTAGCAATAAACACGTTTAAAATGCACAATAAACATGTCTGTCAAATTATCTCAAAGCAGGCTTTTATTAAGCAAATCAAGGAGTGAATTACTCCTCCACTGTTTTTAAAACAGACATTTTGTTGGGCTTGATTCTAGTTAATGCACAATGAGGCGCACACTTTTTATTAGTCGTACTGAATAGACGATAAACATTTTATATTCTAAAATCTTATTAAAGTGTGTGTAACCCTGCGCACTAGCAGTGCACTGTAGTTACTATGAGTTCTCTCTGTTTCTCTCTGTATGAGAGGACACACTGTGATGGACCAGTCGAGGTGCTAGGTTCGCTACAGGGGGCCAAACAATTAGGTAAACCACATTAACAAAAACAGACAGACCAGGAAAATGACTTGAAGTTGTCTTCTACTTTGAATAAAAATGGAATTGAATGAAAATATGAAATTAATTGACAATAAAAGAAACAATTGGAATAACACCAAGGAAATTATCTTTCTCTTTTTTTAGAATATTAAATTGAGCTCATTTTGTAGTTATTTGATTTAAATATTTTTATTGTACTATATTTGTTCCCTTTAATATTTAACTTCTATTTTTCCTAACCTTTTTACCTTTTTTAACCTTTAGTGCAAAAATAATCAGTTGGTGTGATGATCAGTGTTGAGGTCATTTGGTGAGAAATACCACTAGGAACGGATGAGTTCCACTTGTGATAATGAATAAGGCGTCTCTGCGATTATGCGTCTGGTGTTAGTGACGTCACACACAGAGCGCATCTTATGACAAACGTTTTGCTTTAGTCATTTTAATTATTGAAAAGTTTACACAGCAGAACAACTTTGAATACCCATTATATTAAGCATTTCAGTGTTTTGTTCTATTGAAAATATAATTATTGCATATATATATATATATTTATTATATAGGCTATAATCAATTCAGAATTTGAATAAACGTTTTGTTTTACTGCTGCTAACAGGACCAACAGCTACATAACCTGTACATGCAGCATAACAGATATTCACTTAGAAAACAGTTATTTTAAATAGTACAAATATTTCACAATATTACTGCTTTTGCTGTATTTTGGATCAATATATATATATAAGTGGTTGTGGTGGGCCACCTGGACCAAAAAATGTCAGGGCCGATGTTTGGTCCCAGTCCAGCCCTGCCCCAAATCACAGTTTTTCATTGAAGCAAAAGTCACCAATCAGCATGGAGCAGGTGTGTGTGTTTCAAATGTGTTCATCCTGAGCTTGATTGGAAGTTGTATGTTGCATCAATGTGAAGCACTTCGGAAATCGCTAAAACAGCTTTCCCTTGTTTTAAGTAATATAAGCCTGATTGAAGTAGGTTACAATAACAAAACGTGTGTGTGTGTCTGTGTGTGTGTGTGTGTGTGTGTGTGGAAGAGCAGTAACACACCACTCTATGTCTCTATGTTTTGTGCATGTAACTAGACATTTGATGTCTATATATACTATATATATATATTAAATATGGTTTCCGGTCATGAAAAATGGAGTATCCTGCAGATAATAGGGGCACAAGGAGAATCTGTCTTTTCTTACCTGTTTTTAAATCACTCAATGGCCTGAGACTGAATAAACTAGAGACTTTACCTGCTGATTCACTGCATCATTTCAATTTACATCCTTTAATGGACAGTGACCATCTTTTACATTCATTTCATACATTTAACATGTACACTTTGATTTACTTTACTTTCTTTTCTTCTATTCTTTCATTGCTATTTTCCTCTTTATCATGTCTATGTAAGACTCTGAGTATTATATGAGCTCTATAAACTCTGTCTAATGGAAATGCTTCAATGAACTGATAACTCAGGTCTGATATTATGGTTTTTATATGTTGTGCCTTTAACAAACAGCATTAATCTGCTAAATCATGATTTCACAGCACATTCGTCTCACTGACTCTCGATGGAAGGAAATACTTACAGTAAATAATATAGAAGAGGTTGAACAGAATCACCATCACAAAGAGGACTATAATCATAACACCCTCAAATCCAGTGTAATTCAGACTCTTGTCCCAGGCAGATTTAAACAGAACTGGAAGAAAGAAGAGAGAAAAACCAGCAGTTACTAAAACAGAAGAACAACATATAAATACAGATCACAAGAATTACACAAACCCTTCTCACTGAACAGATGCAACATTATTTACGACACATTCATTTGAACTGTTCCTGTCTGACACTGACCCTGTGACCTTTGTGCTGATTATATGACCCCTGACCCTCACATGACCCCAAAACATGTGATGTAGAAGCAGCTTTAGCTTCAGTCTCAGTCACTATAACATGATGTCTGTTAATTCATGTGATTGTTTTGTCATAATGAACCGGTGTAGATTATAAGAGTGATCAAATGTGTTCAGTCACACAGAGATTCAGCGCTGGACACGTGTAGAATATGATATACTGACAACAATACCACAGCAACAGACACTTCCAATTATTAAAGATTTCCTGCAGGATATTGAGAATATTTAAATATAATTACTGTTCAAGTGTTAATGTGCATTGTAATGTGTTTATGATAATGACTGTTGGTTTGCATTTGGAGTTATTTACCTGAATAAAAAACAGCTGAGAAAACAATATATTCCGCTCTAGAACTGTAATTTTGAACCCATGTTTTAATCTTGCCTGTAAAACAGAAAAGATGAAGTAATTACATCACAATCCACGCGATTTCCCCGTTGATTCTGTGTTGCGATCTGCTCTAAACAGCTGAAAGCCCGGGAGACTCAGCGCGTTGTCCGGAATGGCGTCTTTCAGCCAGGTTTCCATGAAACACAGAGCAGCAGAGTTTGAAAAATCCTTATTTGTCCGGGAGAGCAGAAGAAGTTCGTCCGTTTTGTTGGGTAGAGAGCGGAGGTTCGCCAGATGGATGCTAGGCAACGGCGTTCTGAATCCGCGCTGTCTGAGCCTCACGAGCGCGCCGGCTCGCTTTCCCCGTCTGCGCGTCCTGAAGCGCTTGATCAGCGCCGCAGCTTCCCCGACAACAATGTCCAGCAAAATATCCGAATAGTCGAAAACCGGTGAAATATCGGGTGGTGTGTACTTCCGAATGTCCAGCAATTCGTCTCTGGTGAAACTGATTGCAGGGATATAACTAAAGACAGGACAAACTAACAAAAACATAAAAACAACTGCGGAGCACACCACGGAGGCAGCCATCACCGTCGGCGCCATTGTGCAATCTTCTGAGTTATTAGTTTGTTTTTGTTTCCTTTTCATAACTTACTTTGTCAGACATTTCGGTTAACTTTCATAATGAATAAGTATTTATTATATGTTTGCTATTCTGAAAGTCAGGGGCGTCGCTAGTGGGGGGAAAAGGCTGACAGAGTGCACAGGGCCCAGAGGTCTGGGGGATGTACAGGCCATCGGGAGCACCGGGACATTCCCGGTGGGCTGGTCGATCGCCGAAGCGAGGGAGACCTCCCCAATATTAGGTGCTGTTTTTAAATTACAGCGCATGCAAAACCGCATAAAGCAAATAATCCAAAAGTGTGAAGCAGTGCGACCCGATGCATCCACCAGCAGTGCGTAAAGCAGAGCGGGATCAGTCTCCCACACAGCGCTGCACTTCTGCCACGATTTATAAGTGATAAACAGTGCAAGTCGCTTGATCCATCCAGTCGTGTGATATGAGAACATTAAAGGTTCTGTAGTGATGCCGGCTGAAAACAGCCAACAATGGAAACTGCATGAGGAGGTAGTATATTGGAAAACGCCAATAGGTCTGTCATTCAGCACCATAATTTAACTCACAGTTATTAACAATGTACACATAGCCTACGTTTTGGTAGAAATGTATTTATTGTAAATTATACTGTTATTACATACTGGGGAATATTAAAATGTTATAAATGGTGTTTTTGTAGTTTCTTCATGTTTAGTTTTTTTTTTTGTTTTACTACAAATTTGATCGTTTATTATTACTTAGGCTATTATTTATTTTAAAAACCATATAACCATGGTAATGAGGACCATGGTTTTACTTCTTGTGACCACCATCTTACTAATACTAGTCAGTTCAACTCAAGAACTTATTTCTCTTTAGATGTTTAGTTCTAATGAATTTTAATTGAAGTAAAATGTTGATTCAATAACAGCCTGATTAAAGATAAATATCAGTGTCCTATATAAATTAGGTGTTTACTATTTACAAATATTAAAGCTCTTAAAAGGAGATTCACCCCAAAATGAAAATGATCATCATTTACTCAACATCATCATGTTATTCCAAACCTGTATGAATTTCTTTCTTCTGTAGAACATAAAAGATCATTTGAGAAATAAAATAAAAAGTGTCCATACAGTAGAAATCAAGGGTAACCAAAACGGTTTGGTAAAATACAAAATATCTTCTTTTGTGTTCCACAGAAGGGTGAGGAAATGATCACAGAATTTATAAGCACTAAATGTTCTGCATTCTAGCTCAAAATCAATGCTTTACTGTCAAGTGCATTTCTGTATGACAAAAATGCATTATATTACATTTGTTGCATTTGTCATGAATTCAATAACATCTATCATTTTTCTGGTTCTGTCCTGTTTTATTTATTCATTTTTTTACTCCAATTGAAGGCCCTATAACCCAGCAAAACATTCACGGGGGACTTTGTGGACTGGATGGCCATGATTTTAACCCCCACCCCCCACTGACCGTGATTTTGAGGAGGCCCTATAGCAAAATCAGTGCACATGGCCCAGAATGACAACCCTGCTGATGATAGTGAACAATCTGTCTTAAGTTAAGATAAAATCTCATTGATCAAGAAGCTTAAATTCACCTCTTGGAACGTAAGGCAGATGATTAAAATGGTTAAGCTTAAACAAGTTATTACTTCAATTAAACAACTTGAATCCTCTTTTTTTAATTTTTAACTTTTTTTTAATCCTCTAGAATTTTTGCAGGAGACTCATTTGCTTAAAGAAGAGCTCCATAAAATACAGAGGAGATGCCCTGGTTAAGTTTTGGCTTCATTAAATTTAATTTATAGCACAAATAAACACAACAAGAGTTGACCAATGTGCTTTACAGAGTATAAGACTACGATACATGATAAAGAAAAAAAGAAAAACCAGTAACACATAAAGAAATAAAAACATAATTAAGAGTTGTTAAATGCCCGGGCAAGAAGATAAGACTTTAACTTAGGTTTAAACTCAAGTACAGAGGACAGGGGTCTCAGATCTAAGGGAAGGCTCTTCCAGAGCCTAGGACCAACTACTGCGAACGCACGAGCTCCTCTCGACTTCAAGCGTGTTCGAGGCTGGGCCAGAGAGTAACGGTTTGTGTACCGCAGACACCTGCCTGACGCTTTCAGACTTAAGAGTTCAGATGAGTATGTGGGAGCAAGACAATTTATAGATTTAAAAACAAACATCAATATTTTGAAATCAACTCTATGACGCACAGTTTAGAGCCTTTAAAACAGGAGTAATATGTTCAAGTTTGCGGACTCAAAAACATGTTAAAAATCTGGCTGCAGCATTTTGAACCATTTGCAGCCTTGTAATAGAGGACTGGGACATTCCTGCATATAAATAAATATAATAATCCAAGTGATAATCCAAAGCATGTATAACTCTTTCCAGATCTTTAGAGGATAGAAAAGATTTTACTCTAGATAGAAGTTTGAGATGAAGGAAACTTGACTTATATGTTGATATGTTCATGCTATTCTTCTCATTTTAGAAGGGCTGTTGATCCATAAGCATGTACCTTTTCAAGTAAATAAGAGTTTTGTAGATAAGTCAGGTAGATATTTGATAGTACAGGGAACAGACACAAGTAGAAATCTGGTTAATGTTTATAATCTGAAATATGTAAGTATTAGCAACTTTACATGGTCGCTCAATCTAATGTTAACCTAGAGAAATGTGCGCTATGTGTCTGTGTGGAGCTGAACAATAGCTCACTGCAGGACTGATGGAGGCGCCAGTGCGCTCACTTGCTCTTAAAATTATCCCTAATTTTTGGTCATTCAGATAAGAGTAATACATCTTTCAAATCTGTAAAGACTCTCTGTTTATTTGTGTGCACTCACAATACCGCGCTTTTGTAAAATAATGAAAGCAAACATGATGCGCTTTCTGCCGTCTCTGTCTTTGTGAACTTAAGCGCGAAACTCCGAGTATATCTTTGCCTTACAGACATTAAAAATATATCTATAGAGAGTGAAATTGTATACTTTCAAATGAACCAGTTCAAATGGAATACAAATTCTCAGATTATGTAATCCGAATGAAACGCATCCACTACTGTGGAGTCAGTGTCGCGACTTCATCTCTTGATGAAAAAGAAAGCACTAGTCTTCAAAGAAAGCACTAGTTTATCAAATTATTAAAATGTTAATGCAGTCTCCTTACTGTTTTTCCCCAACACATTCATAATCATTACTTCTGCCGGTGCGCTGTGGCAAGCTTTATGCATGTACTCGGGCGCTTGTTACACCATGTAGGCAATTAAAGGTTCATTATATTGATTTAAATGGTTTATTAATAAATGTGCGATTTATTAAAAAAAATTATTAAAATCCTTATGGGCAGCCCAAGAAGCAATGTAATAAAAACATGTCAGGGTTCACGTATTGAACCAGATTTTTAGCGCCATTCAGTGGACATTTCTCTTTGAAACTGCGGTGAAACGTGAAGTAAGGTACTTAATAACGGTGTTGCAGAAAAGTACCCAGAGGTACGTATTTTTATGAGACCAGGTTGGTTTTTATACTCAGCACCCCTTAAGGAACTAAACAAAAAGATAGACAATCTTTTTTCTGAAAAACACTCTATTGATCTGGTATAAAGTTCATAAAAAGCTTTCTTGCTTTTCTCAGATTTGGGGCAATGATCACTTTAGCCTGGCTAAGAAAGATAACGGCATTACTAGATTGATGGATCTGTAAAGGTAATATATTCATGTAATTTGACAAGCTTGTAATGAAGTTTGACATACCTCGCAAACTGTTTTGCAAATATCTACAACTCAGACTTTGGACATTGTGTTTTTTTGAGTAAGTGAGACTGAATGGGGGAAAGTCAATAGGCTTGTTCCAGATGCATCGTCGCCAGGCAGACCGATCAGTGTATGACAGAGGTGGACAGTAACGAAGTACATTTACTCGAGTACTGTAGACTTTTTGAGTATCTGTACTTTACTTGAGAATTATTTTTAATGGAAACTTATGACTTTAACTTCACTGCATTTGAGAGACAAATATTGTACTTTTCACTCCACTACATTTCTATCAAGGTCCTCGAAGTAGAAAGTTGTTACTGTAGCAGCTTTGATAGTCAGTGGCTGATTTTTTTTCTTCTCTAAAACATGACTTTTTTTTTTCAGACAGTCTATCAGTCATCACTCTTGTAGGGTTACATGAAGTGATTTCCCAGCATTTTTTTGAACACTGACCAGTTGCAAATGTGATATTTATTTACAACTCAATAATAAGAAGTTAATTGTCATGAATCCGGTCTATAAACTTCCGTTCTCTCACCACCAGAGGTCACCCGCTCTCCACATGGACTCTCATACTACACAGACTGTTACACATCACCCTGGACTACATTTCCCATGCTCCATTACATTAATCACAAGCTCACCTGAAACCAATCACACAGCTGCTACCAATA